TGGCCTCTGGGTTCATGGGTTGGCACTCAACCACTGAGCCACACCTGTCAGGCATAATTGTTCAATTTATTATTATTAACGTCTTACTGTGCCTAATTTAGAAATTAAACTTTATTATAGGTGTGTATGTATAGGGAAAAAACATAGTATATATAAGGTTTGGTACTAATCTGTGGTTTCAGGCATCCACGGGGGTTCTTGGACATCGCCCACAGATAAGGAGGGACTACTCTGTTGTTAAAGACCAATTATTGGGCTTCTTTCTGGAGCCGAGCACATAGGCCAAAACTCTGGGACATCACCTTTGACTCCTACTTCATCTGCCAGAGCCAACCACTCCCCAGTTCTGCAGTTTCTCCCCAGTGCATCTCCTCTTCATCCCTCAATCCCTATCCTTTTCTTGGATTTTTTGCAGCAACTCCTACACAGGTTTCTCTGTCTGTAATGTCTTGTCCTTCAAAGTGGGCCTCTAAAAACAGAAAACTAATTGGGGTGCCAACCCTCTTTACCCTTTTCCTCACTAACGAACCTTCCGTGGCTCCCCGTCATTCTCTGGATAAAGCCCGCACTCCTCATCAAGGCTTCCACCACCCAACCCCTACCTCCACCCTTCCAGCCTCACCTCCTGCCCCTCTCCTCCACGTGTCCTTTGCCCAGGCCACTAGGCTAGTAAAAGTTAAGAGCATAGAAGCAGAGAGACCTGGTTCTCCATTCTGTTCCACCATTTACCTGCTGAAGGGAATATCAATTCCCTTCTCTAAGCCTCAGTTACCACATCTGGAAAATGGGCATAATTATAATACCTACCTCCTAACATCATTGTAGGGATGAAAGGAATACATAAGGTGCTGAGCACAGTACCTGAGACTCTGAACAGTCACTATAGTTCTTATACTTTCCTCTGCCACCAAGGGCATTTCTTACTGTCAGTCTTACTAATTTTTTATTACCCAACTCAAATGTCATCTCTTGGTAGAAATTTTCCTTGATATTCACACTCTGTTCCCCAAGTGAAATCAGCCTCACTCTCTATACTCGCTTGCACTTTGCACCTCTGTAAAGCACTTGTAATGTGCACTCTTTCTCCCATTACCCCAAGAATTCCCTGGGAGTAGGAACAATAGTGTCTTTCTTTCCTTTCCTTTCCTTTCCTTTCCTTTCCTTTCCTTTCCTTTCCTTTCCTTTCCTTTCCTTTCCTTTTCTTTTCTTTTCTTTTCTTTCAGAGAGAGGGAGAGTGTGAGAGAGACACATCAAATGCTTGTCTCCCGCACGTGCCCTGACCAGGGCTGGGGATCAAGCTTGCAACTGAGGTATGTGCTCTTGACAGGAATTGAACCCAGGACCCTGCAGTCCACAGGCCAACGCTGTAGCCACTGAACTGAACCAGCTAGGGCTATAGTGCTCTTCTCAACTCCAGCACAGAGCCTGGCATGCAGCAGGTACTCAATAAATGTTGGTTGAATTGAATGAAGTCACCACTCTTAGTGCCTTTCTTGAGTACCTGCAGGGAGGAGACCCGAGTGATGAGATAGCTGGACTCTGCTGGTACTTGACTGCTCAGGTCCTACTTCAGCTCTGGTTCGGGGCATATTGGTTTGTGTATGAGTGGATGGAGGAAACTCCTGACCTCTGGGCTCTTTCTTTGTGGCAGAGTCTCTTCCATCCTCCAAGGGAGTGAGAAAGAGGGGAGATGGGGTGCGGAGGCCGAGGTGTTGGACAGGGATGAGGTGGGGCTATAGCCAGAGCTGGGGGTGTGGGTGGGAGCTGGCAGACTCCAGCTCCTCTAAGGCCAGGGTTGGGCCTGGCAGGACGTCCTCACAGCCCAAGTCCCCACCTGCAATGCCCTGCCTCATCCCAGCACATGGATTAAGTGACTTTTCAAGTTGTAAAGCTACTTCTTGATTTGCAAGGAAGCAGAATCCAAGCCTGTCCTGTCCGGTTGCTGAGCGGGGAGTGTTTCCTTTTATTCTCCTTTCTGTGTAGGCAACACCTTGCAATCCTGGCGTGCATCAAAGAAGGCAATCCTCAATTTCGCAAACCTAGATTAAGGTCACACTTTCGCCAACTGCTGCTTCAATTGCTGCTCCTGCCACTCCCCTAATTTAAAACCCTTCTCTGTTTGCCTACTCTCCTCAGGATAAAGCCCTACCTTCTAACCCAACCCACGAAGCCCTGGATGGTCTGGCCCTGTATACTTCTTGGACTTTCTCTCACTTCACTCTCCCGCTGCCTTCGCTTCATGTCTTCTGGCCTTTTCTCAGTTCTTCCAACATACCTTGCCCCTTCTTTCCTCTGGGCCTTCACACATACTGTTTTCTCTGTCTTGGCCGCTTCTCACTTTCCCCTGACAATCTTGTTTTATGTTTAGTGCTTTTGATGCCTAAGAAATCCTTGCCTGTCCCAAGGTCATGGAACTATTTCCATATATTTTCTTCTAGTGGCTTTGTGGTGTTAGCTTTCGCACTTAGGTCCACGATTCATGTTGAATCAATTCTTGTGTGGTTCGAGGTAGGGACTGAGACTCATTCCCACTCTGTTACTTCCTACTTCTTCTTTACAATCCTGCTTAGGCCTCACCTCCTTTGAGAAGCCCTCCGTGACTTCTCCTGCACGAGATCCGGTCCTCCTACTCCACAGCCCATAGCACCCTCTATTGTAGCATTTGTTACACTCGTAATTAAATAATTATTTGTGTAATTACTTGTTTGGTATGTCATCTCCTCGAGTGTACTGTTGCTCTGTGAGCTCAATGCTTGTGACTGTCTTTTAAAAAACCTTTCACCGAAATACATCAAAACATATAGCTTGGTGAATTTTTACAGACTGCACACACTATGTAATGGTACCCAGATTCAGACATAGAACATTTTGATGCTGCACATTTCCTATACCTAGAAGCCCCCTCATGTTCCTGCCAGCTATAACTGTCTTTTTCTTTTCTTTTTAACCCTTTTTTAGTACTCAGCACAGGCATTATTAGGCTCTCAAAAAAGAAATCTTTGTGGATGAACGAATTAGTTGGTGATGCTTAATTCTTCTTCAAAGAACTGGACATGGAATCTAATATCTCGGCTCCAGCTCCAGCTCAGTGTGATCTTGAAGAGGTCACTCCTGCTTTCTAGGTCTCTGTTTATGAAATGGAGGTGGATGGAGGCAGGTTGGACCAATAATCTCTTTGGAGCTTTTCCAGATATGGCCTTTGGGGCAAAACTGCCCCCCTGGTTTATGAAAATACGTTGTCAGGGACTCTTTGGGTCTCCTCCCTGGAGACGAGGGCCTGGGAGGGTTAGAAACTTGATGCAGGTCGTATGTCAGAAGCCCGAGCCTTAGAGTCAGAAGGCCTGGGTTTGAGTCTTGGCCTGACCTCTGGGTGACCTTGGGACAATCTCTTCCCTTCCCTGGGCTCCCTGATCTCTTCACCTAAAATGAGGCATAGGTTGACCTCCACACACTAGAAGAACAGTGATGCTGGCCCCGGGCCTCTGAGCATCGTGGTTCAGTTCCTGCAGCAGGGGCAACTCTGGCTCCGGGCTCCTCCCTGCCAGGCACTGTGGGGGGAGAGGGAAGCACAGGATGTGATCACCGCCCTGGGGCAGGGAACTCGAAGTCTGGCTAGAGGGACCCAGTGTTCAGCCAGGAACCAAATGGAAAATGGGCGGATGGTCCAAATGATTCTGTGTGTGGGGCTGAAGGGAGAGCGGCTGGAGTTCCAAATAGGGGCAGGAGACTGGGATTGGGGGGGCGGGTGGGGTGAGACAGACATGGCTTCCTGGGGGAGAAGCCTGTGGAAATTGGCAGGGCAGCCTAGGGCGCTTCCCAGAGAGGGGAGGAGGCAGGAAGGAGGAAATTGGGTCCAGGTGACCACAGAGCAGCAACTTGGCCAGGGAGTCGAAGAGGAGGGGCTGGCGGGAGCTTGGGCAGCCGCCCCACAGCTGGGCTTTAAGGGGGGGGTGGGGGGCCGCCTCTGCTCTGGCCCTGGGAAAGCACCATCTTCTCAGGCCGCAGGCTGGGAAGCAGGGCATGGTTGTGAGCTCAGGCCAGAGGGGCCTCTCTGAGCAGCCCCCGGGGCCCTGCCTGGCTCTGCTGGGCTGCAGAGGACGCGGAGCTGAGTCAAGCTCCAGTCCCCGAAGCTTCCTCCATAGGACCCTCCCTCCGGCTTGGATCACTTTTCGGCCTCTTCCTGGCTTTACAACTAGGGGGCACTCAGAGCCCCTATCCTGTATGCCATTCCTTAGGCAGGTGACTGAGGCAGAGTGGTTGCTAGCCAAATTAAGAAACTGAGTCATAACTATGATAACGGGAAAACACAGCAGAGCTTATAGTTAAGAG